CCATGGATGGAGCCCTACATCAGAATGAACACAGACCTCCGAAAGCTGGCCACCAGTGACTTTGAGAAAAATCTCTACAAGCTCATGAACAACTCGGTGTTTGGCAAGACTATGGAGAACCTGAGGAAACGCGTGACCGTGAAGCTGGTTCGGTCGAATGAGGAAGACAAGCTCAGGAGACTGATAGCCAGCCCGGCATTCAACCGGAGCAAGATATTCACCAACGACCTGGTTGCCCTACACATGAAGAAAAGCCACATCAAATTCAACCGGCCTGTTTACGTGGGGATGAGCATCCTCGATTTATCCAAACACCTGACGTACGACTTTTACTACAACGAGCTGAAGAAACAGTACGATGACAGGTGTGAAGTGCTGTACACTGACACGGATTCCCTGTTGATGGAGATTCGAACCGAGGACGTGTACGAGGACATGAAGAAACGCCTCGATTTGTATGACACCAGCGACTACCCCAAGGACCATGCCATACACAGCACGGTAAATAAAAAGGTCCTAGGTAAGATGAAGGACGAGTGTGCTGGCACGCCCATAGCCGAGTACATAGGTTTGAGGCCTAAGATGTACTCCATACTGAAAGCCGACAATGGTGAGATCCGGAAGGCTAAGGGTGTTAAGAAGTACGTGGTTAAACAACACATCAAACACGCCAGATTCAAGGAAGCCCTGTTCAAGACCCGTACCTTTAGGCATAAAATGAACACACTTAGAAGTGATGGCCATAGGATATACGGACTTACTATAAACAAGACGTCCCTGTCGCCGATGGACACTAAACGTTGGATAGCTATTGATGGGATAAACACGTACGCGTACGGGCATGAGAAAATTGAACCAAGAACATAGGTATATATAAGTACCCTGTCGGGACGACATGTCACGGAACCAGAGAAAGTTTGAGGCTATTTACTATAGCCCGCGTGGGTACTGGAAAGGAACTAGCGCTGTAGATAAGCTGGCTAAAATGGCGCGAGTACCGCCGGAGGAGGCCAAAGCGTGGCTTGAAAAACAAGCACTTTGGCAGATCTATTTGCCGCCACCACGCTACGTGCCTAGAAGGAAGTTTGGTATTAACATACCCAATAGCGTTCACCAGGCAGACCTACTTTCCTACCCCACGACAAGAGGTACAAGTATGCCTTAACCGTAGTGGACGTAGCCAGTCGCTACAAGGAAGCCGAACCCTTGACCGCGAAAGATTCGGCCCAGGTAGCCAGAGGATTCGAACGCATATACAAACGCAGTCCGCTGACGTGGCCAACAGAGCTGCAAGTTGACCCCGGGCAGGAGTTCATGGGTGTCGTGTCACACCAGTTAGACACGATACAAAGGTCAGGCGTGGCACGGCTGGAGCCCATCGCAGCCAAGCCATAGTTGAGAGATTCAATAGAACTTTGGCTGAGCGCTTATTCGGGCATCAGTATGCGAGGGAGATGGCCAACCCGGGGAAGCGATCGACTGAATGGGTCGCTAGGTTGCCTAAGGTGGTGTCGGCAATCAACCATGAAGCCACCCGTCTCACCGGCAAGAAACCGGTAGACGCTATCAAACTAAAATCAATAGTGGCAGAGTCGGCTGCTCCATTGCGTGGGAAAGAGAAACAGATACCAGATAGGGCCCTAGTGAGGTATCTATACCAGCCGGGGGAACACGAGGGTGATAGCCGTAAGCGAGCCACTGACCCAATATGGTCAGTCAAAACTTACAACATAGATAAAGTGGACATGAAAGCAGACGAGCCTAACTTGTACTACTTGAGGGATGGGCCAGGTAGAGGGCTCGTAAGAGCGGAATTATTGATCGTACCGTAAGGCACAGTGTTACCTCCAGTCAACACGGCATAGCGGCACGTGGAGTGATGATACAATCCCAGGATAGACCCGTTAAACCGACACACTTCAGCCATGTCCCCGGTGCGGGTTGTGAGGTGTACATGTGGAGTTCGTATCCCGCTAGCGTCTCAAACTTTTTTATAGTAGGGGGAATGGGGGGCCTGAACAAAAGCCTTATTTGTGAAATAAGGCTTTGCAGAGGCTTTTGTTGGACTTGGTCCAAAACCCCCATTGTATATACTACTCCGTTACCAGGGTGGCATTTACCATTCAGATTTCTTAGTAGGGATCAGAATTCCTTTTGATGTTTTACAATATTTTCTAATGTTTGTCTCTGTTTTTGCACATAATTTTGTCGTTACATACATTCAGCTTTGTGCCTATGTCTAGCGAGATTATATGCATGTATCTCTGCCATTTGACTTTCTGAATATATTTAAACACCTGAATCTACTGCGTTTCAGTTCATCACATTCTCTATCAAACCATTTCTCATCATTGTTATGTGTATTTCTAATATATCTTTTCATACCACACGTCGCGAGTGATAGTGCTTCTACTTAGTAATCAATGCTCTTGTTGATATTTCCAAACATTTCTTCAATTGACTTACTAAGTAGGTCTTGTATCTTATCAGTTAATAATTTTTTCCTAAAGCTTTCCTCCAGTTTCATATCCCAGACATATTTATCCGCTATGACTTGTATGTTCACGCTTCTACTATCATTGTTCTGATACACACAGGTTGTACTATCAGATAGTCTACAACACTGCATCCAAGTCACGGCACTTATGAAATTGTAATCACCGCGTTTTGAATCCAAGGCACATCTTCCGTTCACAATGTGAATGTTGATAGTTAAACTCATGTCTAACAGAAATCTACCAAAATTATTTACACCTTTGTCCACCGAATACCGTGTCATATTGAAATAATCTAAAATGGTTACGACCCTCTGTGTATTAAACCCTAAGTGTCTTCAATGAAGTCAGGGTTTGTACTAGTGCGGGCAATAAATCACCTCCACACATAATGTGTAAACTGAGGTGCGAGGATATGATGTCTATTATAAACCGACAGTGACGTCACTCTATTGTTCTTAGGGGGCACTTTTTCTCGTAATATCCCTCAAATCTGATACAATCTCGCTTCCTCGGGCAATTATCTAAATAATGTCCCTCTGTCCCGGACAATTATCTTAATAACGTCCCTCTGCCCGGTGATTTTCTGAGGAATAGCCCTTGACTTTGATTTATTACTTTTTTTTGAAGATTGATACGACTTTGTCTTGCCATCACTGAATGCGATCTTAAAATATGACATTATTGATAATTTCCAACATGTAGTGCCGACACCCGGTATTGAAATTATATCTAAAGTATATCTTCGGTCGGTTTATAAGTTGATATATCGATGACCCGTGGGCATTATTGAAAGTAAGCCCTTCCTCGGGAAGCGGGCTTACTTTTCAATAATGCCCACGGGTCATGTTATATCCTACACATTGGTCCTCTAGGAAGAGGCTGATCCCATTTCTATTTGTAATATTTGTTTGATCATACCACGATGAATTCTCTGGGTGCACACAGGAGTACAATATATCCTGATCCAATCCAAACAAAGATTTGTCAAATATTATAGATATTGCATTTGTGACAGATGTAAACCATTTAATGAATTTGGCGACATCATGTATAATCCGAGTTATTATACCCCCAGGGAGCCTGCCGAGATGTGATATTCGCAGGTTTAATTTGCAAATAGACTTAAATCAGGGAATATATGCGTGAGGCCAACTTCTCATAGCCAAGATTCTGTTAAACCTATAATATCAAACCTATAATATCAAGTTCTCCTGTCCATAATTAACACTAGAACTACCTTTTGCCTCTGCCACAAGCCCGTTCCCCGTATATAAGAATCACCTATCTGCTTTGTATCTCCTCAGTCTATGAAGTTTATGGCACTGAAAGCGCGTCAAAGCGTTAGCAATTCTGACATCTTGCTATTTTATCACCGATCTTAGTTTGACAGACATCCACTTGTCCTCCCAATGGCACATCTTTACAATGAAGGGCCTTGATGTTTTGATAGATTTGGTAGCGAGATTCTGTGGGCTATTTCTATATCACGAGGGAAGGTATTTCTCGTGTGGCTCTGGCTTTGTTTAGGATTTTCAAGGCCTTGGTTTTGCATTGTGTATAAGTTTCTTTCTCGTCTTCGGCTATATTATATAATACTAAATTATTTCTCCGATTACGACGTTCCTGGTCTTCTAATCGGGCTTCTGGAAACTTTCCATCTGCTCAGCTTTGGCCTGTTCATCCTCTGGTATTCTATTCCTGTTTTGTTACTTCACCTCTGAGATCTTGGATTTCTGCTTTGGTAGATTTTACGCCCTCTTTTATCGAGCTTATTTCTTTAGTAAGTCTATCTTCTGTTTGCTTTATTTGGGCTATAAGTGCATCTTTCATTGTATCTAGTTGGGATGATTGAGGTCCAGGGTTCGACTCAACACCACCCGCTAGTATAATCAAGGATGGGAGGCATACAAGGGTGGGCAGACAAGCAGTAACTGAGCCAGTATCCCATTTTCGACAGGAAAACAATGTTCCATGCTGCTGAATACTGACACAAACCTCCCTGACACATGGAAGCTGGCGTCATCCACCAGTACTGTTTCTTCAAGCCGTACCTGATCCTGCAGTGGTTAGGAGTAGAAGCAGAGACCCGCACATCGTATACCCGCAATATCATAATGATAGTCGAACATATGTGTATAAGTGAGATGAAGTCCTGAGTGTGACACCCATACTTAGACACCCATCTGTCTACCATTAGTACCACCTGGTGTCTTTTCTTACTCTTGAAACAATCTGTTTGGAAAAGTCCACAAAGTTTGTTCACGATAATGGACATAGCTCTTCGTTGCAAATCCATACCATGACCAGTGGCTTGTAACGAAGGATATAATCCGCCACAATCCAGAATCAACGACCGTTTGTGACTGAGACACGACAGCATTTAGAATGTAAGGAAAGAGGGACAACTCGCGTCCCGCAAGGGAGCTAACTCTGTCAACATACCCTTGCCTCAACACCTGGAAGATGGTCAGACAAGATTCCTCCACGATCAACAATCCACTATCATCTCTCGTCTGTCACCAAGGATTTCGTGACAGCTACAACATGTCCGCCAGACAAAAACACGCGAGGTAGTCTGGCAGCTAGACTTGTCGTCACCTCGTGAGGGATTGTGCCGAGAGTAGCAGCCATCTTTGTCACGCTGTTGGGGAAGGTGAAGTCGTCAGTGATGATGTTGAACGTTGTGGACGAAGGCTTTGGTTCATCCAAGCGGACTGTGATGGCGTCCATGGACACTCTCCCAACAACCGGAAGTTGGGGACCATCTAAAATAATGAGTGAATTATGGTTAACACGGCACTGAACCTAGATGTCAAAATACGGTAAGGCCAAAGGTCTGTGATAAGGATGCAACATCTTAGTAAACATGTGACGAAACGAAACCTATGTGAGGGACATTCACTTTTTCCTGAGGTAGTGTCATGTTAGGACACGGACGCTTGGGATTACTCTTGGAATTCAACTGGATGCTGCCCACTCCTTACCCTGTTTCTAAAAATAGCCAGAGACATCTATAATACTGACAAACGGCCTCACCTTCATCCAGAGACACCACACCTCTGTTCGACAACAGCCTGTTGTACCCATCTGCATAGCCCAGACTGAAGGTTGCAATGGTCTCTGTAGCCCGAGTCCTGAAAGCAGAAAGAACCATCTGTCATCCTAGGATTTGGTATGTTTTATATAAAGGCGACAAAACCCATTCCACATCGACAAGGATCCTCTGCCAAAAGCAATGTCGATAGTACGATTTCGACTATATCATGAACCTGTGTTTATATATCAATGCCACCTACCCTGCCTTTTTAATTCGTCGGTCAATGTTGATTACATATTCTAATCAGACATATTGAATGTTTATCACTACACTCACAGTCCCGTCTGGTGGCTAGACAAACCAGGGGTAGATTCTGGACATTAATAATTGCCAAACCACAATTTACTATGTATAGGTTAATCACTCTTTTAAGTTTATTTAAATAACTACCGTAGTGAGGGTGATTAAACAGCTTACACCACGAGGGCATACTTATTTAATATGCGTGTAATGTATTAGGCATGATGAAGATGATCAAAACGATAAGTTTATTGTTTTTAAATAGAAATAATTGCCCTAGGGCACTTATCCAGTTATGCTAATAAAACACTTCCAAGAACAATGGACATAACTTTCCCTAGTGGTTTAAATATAGCTATCTGCAGCGCGATCCCACCCGGGAGGTAAACAGGACAGCATCTTATCTTGTTATTTTTGCTTACACGTAGGTGTTGTCATATCCCACGACCCTCCCCTGGGGCAGTTGCTTGATGAGGGTGGGGCGAGCTCGCCGCGAGAGAACGGGTCTCAGTCCCAGAGACTCCACCAACTCAGCAGTCTCCGTGATTGGTTCTGTAAATACCAGGACGCGTTATACATCATGCCTTTGTCTACATTGTCTTCAATAGCCGCACAAAACAACCTTACCAAGCAGTTTGAAATGTTCTCTTCTGTACACTACACTAATTCATTTCATAATCCCATCTTGCCTATGTGGTTATTCAGCAAGGTAGGTTCGTTGTCAAGAGCTACCACTTGAAGCAAGCAGCCCTGCCGCAATTATACTTGGGAGTGATGTGGAAGACAGCCTGACCTGGAGGAAGCCCGTACATGCAGATCCCGGGTCTGATGAAGTCCAGCTGTGTCCCCAATCCTCCGATGATGGCGGCGGAGCTGGCGACATGCACCTTCACGCCATTTGCCCTGTAGACAATACACAAAGTCATCTTTACTACATGACTATTGTTTCATATTTATTTTGAGGTATCAGGGCTGCGTCATCAAACAGCTATGTATATGCAATGAAGATAATTTCTTAACGGGCGCAGGACTAACATCTAGTCTCTGAAATTTATATATTTTACAGAAGAATTGTTCTTAAATTATATTCATAAAATATAGTAAATAGGAGCCCAGAGACTTTTTCATTTTCAGAAACTGCAGTATTCTAGACTTGTCACATATTCTAGGCTTACACGGGCTGTATTGGGTATATTTGTGTGACAGACTAAACCGGAGCTTGAATGAGTCAAGACATGTTATCTTGGCATATAAGAGTTTGAGATATGCATACGTGGAACCATTTTCAAATATTTTCTATAATCTTTAGCATCTAGTTACACATCCATACACAATACTTTAAGTTTAACTATTTCGTGACCTTCAACCTGTGCCCCGGTAGGGAAATTTGCAGCCTCGCTGACATAGCTGATCAAGGTTCCACCACACAGCATATCAGTAAATTTTTCTGACAATGCGCCAGCATGCAGTAGGTTAGAAACCACACAAATGTTTCACAGAGATACCAGGGTGTATATGGTCTACCTGAGTGGTTCTACCAGAGTCATAAATGTGTTCAGCTGCTGCTTGGTAAAGAGGGGGTTGTCCCAGGCCTGGGAAAAGTGCGTCATCACACTGTGGATAGTTAGACCGTGTGTCTGGCAGAACTGCAAGGAGACAATTGTAATACCAACCAGAGATCGCTGCATGCAATCTCCAAAAAGGATGTTATCGATGAACCAACATGCAATGTCAGATACATAGGTACATGTTTGCAAATTAACAATTGTGGTATTCAGTCAAGTTCATTAAGCGATAACTAAATCACAGACTCATCCTGTGCTCAACTCTTTTCCCGATGCATTACGCACATTCGCACAACAGGCGTCTGTTGAACTAGGAACGTAGTCATGGAAACGAATAAGGGAAAGCATGAATGTACAAGTGTTCCTTTATTTATTTCCAGATTTTCACCCACAGTGCAATAGAAAGCATCAAGAAACCCGGGAAAAGAGTATAGGAACACTGGCGCTTTCGTGTGTTACTTTATTCGTTTCCATGAGTATATTATTCCAACACATGTGGTATGGAGAAACGTTCTTTATAATGCAGCATACTATCCAAAACGGTGTCCATGTTAATTTCGGAATACCACAAGGACCTACTTGTATAAGAAAGGGGAAGTCGTGAGTCTGACACCCGTTCCTGGACATCCCCGTGTCAATCTTCAGTACCACCTGGTGTCTCTCCCTCACCTAGAAATAACTGACACCTTCTAAATCCACACAACACACTGTGCACATATCTTGCTCTATGCAATGAAACCCCTTTAATCTGAACCCTGAATGTCATCACCACGAAAAGTTTTGCACTTCGACATAGAAATCTACAAGTGTTCTTTCGAAAAAGTTATTGGAAAACGCACTGGAATTTTAGTTACCCTCTCCTTTAAAGTGATGAAATGGTTGTTACTGTTGACTTGGTTACAGGAGCTGTTGTAACTTACAGGGTCTTTTGTGATTGCCTTACGCCATTCCTTGAGGAATTTTAGTTCCGCCACCGTCGGTGTCAACGTATACTTCACCAATATAGGGATGTCCTCCTCGATGGCGTTACCTGTGATACAAATAAACCTTCTGAGGACGTTGAAAAGAAACTATATCGAGACGGCACCAGCACTGTAACAAATAGTTCGAATCCAAAACACCGCGAGTTCATTGTCCCATAATTTTGACGCGTTTAAGGTCTAGCGCTTTCTATGTTTGGAGAGTTTAATGGTTTGAAGAATGGAGACACTTGGATGTCTAAATCAGTGATCAGATACCCTTTGAGTGAGATGTCTGTGTCCCAGAAATACTGTTACTTATACACAAACAACACATTAGGAACACATCACTCTTGAAACGCACCTGAAACCTTTACCTGTGCTAACACATCACTCTTGAAACGCACCTGAAACCTTTACCTGTGCTACGGATATTGTTTATGTCACAAATGTCATTTTTTCTAATACTATTGTTACTTTGCAATGGAAATTGTTGTTAAACAATGTCGTGATTGCATTGCATTGTTTCTGGCAAGATTCAGCAGATGCTGTTTTTAACGACGATTTCTTTTCAGGAACGTGTGTTTTACTATCTAATGTAAGCAGTTGTGTGGGAGTAACTATTGTTTGATGTGTATCGTGTAATTGTTTGATCGCCATTGTAGAAGTTTATGGATGACAACTTCCTGTTTACTGCATAGAGCGACGTTTCGATGTCGATTCTTACATCGTTATCAAGCTAGAGGTGACTACAACCAAACGTTTTTATTCTAAACATGTTTACAGTGCATGAAGAGGGTGAGATGGGTTAATAATCCCTTTAAAGAGTTTTTCAGTTACTTAAGAAGAAAAATACCTAAAATCAGTATGTGTCCCTGTATCCCTGCCTGCCTGAGCTGAGCGCCTTCCCCTAAGGTAGCGACGGCGAAGTGCCCGACCCCCCGGGACTCCAGATACCGGGATATCTCCACGCTGCCATGACCGTAGGCGTTGGCTTTCACCACTGCTATGATGTCTGTTAGAAAGAAAGGCGTTGACTTAAAAGTAGATGACTTAAGGTATGTTAAATGAATATGATCAGCAAGTCTCTTTCACCTCGAAATCGATTCATAGAATAATGCATATCGACTTTAAGGGCGAACACAGCCTTTTGAGACAGGGGCACGGTTCATTTTCACTCGCGCAGACGCGTGCATGCATGCACGCACGCACGCACGCACACACACAACACACTCCCTGGATCCGCCTAAGGACATGTCATGTTTGGACATCTACTACGTAGATCATAGTTAATGATCTTTACCTGTATGGGGCGAACATCGTTGCTTGAGAATGGAGATGTTCTTGAAGAGGACGTCGAGCTTTATACGAAGGAAGGTGCTGCGTCCGGCCCAGGGGTACAACTCAGCGTCTGGGGGTGGGGGTTCCATCTCGCCGTTATGGGACGTGGTCCTGCTAGAGTAAGCTTTAACATTCATTCACTTTCCATTACATATTGAACGTTTCCTAACACGTTACACCTACATCAAAGGTCTTTCACTATCGAGCCTGGACCAGGTAAACCAGCGTGCAATCAACCAGGCCACCTGACCCGACCTTCCCAGCCGAACAGTGAACATCCGGGTTAGAATTGATCTTCAGTAACCCATGCTTGTCGTAAGAGGCGACTAACGGGATCGGGTGGTCAGGCTCGCTGACTTGGTGGACACATGTCATCGTATCCCAGTTGCCTAGATCGTCTGGTCCAGACTTGATTATTTACAGACCGCCTCCATCTAGCTGGAATATTGCTGAGTGCGAAAAACTAAGCTCACTCACATCTACTCTTACCTGTAATGGATATCACGAATAGATTGAATAGGTGTTGCGACTTGAATGAATCGGCTTATTCAATTAAGGTATTTACGGAACTGTTGAAGTAAGACTGTGTAAGTAATACATGCCTAACCTGACCAAATCTACCCTTGTTGTTGTTTGTGTGTAAGTGCTGTATTTGTCCCGTTCCTGTACATTCCGACTCCAGGACATATTAACATATTCGTGAACTGTCATAAGTCATGTCTAACTTATAAAGCAGCCTTTAGTCAACATATTATGAACTTTTCCCCGCACACCCTGTATCCAATTTGCAATAGAAAGTTCTCTTTATTCAACATGCTCTGGCGAGCGCGGGCTTTTTGAAAAGCGCGGGCTTTCTGTCATCATCAAATCCTTCAATACCTCCCACTACTCCTATGCTGACGTTACTCAGCTTGTGAATACCTTTACACCAGATACAGCAGCAGCTACTTTCAAGAACATTGAAAACTGCACAACCAAGATACAAACATGGACGACAAGTAGAGTTTTAGAACTGAATGATGATCAAACTGAAGTATTACCTATTGGCAGATCACAACAATTGAAGATTATCACAAGTGATAGTATAACAATAGGTTCCTCACAGGTTGCTTTTTCTCCTTTGGTGAAGGATCTTGGCGTATTGCTAGAGTCGGATCTCGCCATGGATGTACATATCGACAGACTTTGTAAAACCTGCTATTTTCATTTGCGCAGGATTGGGAACATCCGGTAGTACATCACAGATGAAAGCGCGAAGATTCTAGTCAGATGTCTAATTTCCTCCAGATAAGATTAGTGCAACGGACTGCTTGCTGGTCTTAACAGGGCTCAGCATAAAAGACTGCAGAAAATACAGAATACGGCCGCCCGCATTATATCGTAACAGTCAAAATCATGTCGCATTACTCCAGTCCTCAAATCACTTCATTGGCTCCCAATTGAATCACGTATCAACTTTAAAGTTCTCTGCACTGTCTACAAATGCCTCCAACCAAGCCCCATCCTACCTCACTGACCTGATCACTGTATACACACCAGCCAGAACTCTTCGATCTCAGAACCAGCTCCTACTTACTGGACCAACTTTTCGACTTTCCTCATTTGGTAAACTATCGTTCTCTCTTGCAGCCCCAAGACTATGGAATTCATTGCCAGTCCAAATCAAAGACTCTTATTCTCTGACAGCTTTCAAATCACGACTTAAGGCTTACCTTTTCTCCTCTGTATATACCTGACTCTCTCCCTCATCCCCCCTGCGCTTTGAGCATGCACTAGTGTGTTGATTATAGCGCATAACAAATGTCCATTATTATTATTATTATTTTAAATCTGGGTGCATTCACCGTTATATACAAGTAAGGGTGATATGACTACCTCGTAATTGCGCGCATCATATCAGCTATGCTTTGTTTTCGTTTCATGAAAGGTTTCATTCAGAGTAGCATGAGTGCATTAGATAAAACACGGGTTCATTCACCTTTCTAACCTGTGACGTCATGCATCCATTTCAATATTCATCAGTTATCGTGCATACTAATCACGGATAAGCCGGACGCAGTACGAGCGGACCCTTTCTGTAAGTTACTGAAGTCTGTTTATAAGGTCACGATGGACTCTCAAAGGGAGCAGTAATTGCGATCAGATGACAATACTAGTCAAACCTACCTCTCAATAGGACCGTTCACAGTGTTTGGGCACAATTATTCGTCGCTACATGTCCTCTGAAGCAAACGCCCCCACGACACGGAATACACGTTATCTAGACATTTACCAGGTGCGTTTACCTTGGCGATATGCTTATGATCATCGGTCAGTTCGTTCAGTATTAAATTTATAATAATGAATAATAATGAACACAGACTAACTTCACTATCACTTTAATTCACTTCACTCTCATGGGCATGACCTGTATTTATGAAATTTATAATTCAATATTGATAAAACTTGATGTTCATTGATGCCTGTTAAAGCAGTCTGTGTTATAACGGCAATCTCTGGATGGTCAGATTGTTGCGACATCGCCAAAGATATAGTGTGCGACGTTACACAGCAAACGGACATAGACGTGTACAACAAAGCACGAATAGGTGATTTTACAACCGCATCAAAAATAGGTTGAAAGCATGCGAGGCTATTTTTTAGGTATATTTGTCTGAGTTTTTCTAAAGTACTCACGGAAATAGAAATAAAATGGCTTTGGTCATGTATTTCGTAGTTTTGAACAGAACTAAAGTTTAATTGTTC